TACTCTACTCTACTCTACTCTACTCTCTCTACTCTGCTCTGCTCTGCTCTGCTCTGCTCTGCTCTGCTCTACTCTACTCTAATCTACTCTACTCTACTCTACTCTACTCTACTCTACTCTACTCTACTCTACTCTACTCTACCCTGATTGGGATTGTTTCCTCTGGTCCTGTGAAACCAATACCAGGGTCCTTCTTTATGTCCCTATTGGTCCTTGGTGTTGGCTGGATACTGGTAGAGCAGATCCCTCTCTCAATGTGGATCTCCCCAAGGTTTCTCACTTTTCTCCCACTGGGTTTTAGAGTTTTTCCTCTGGGACATATAGAGCTACAATAAACCATAAAGGCTACTGTGGACTCACCACTTGCAGGAGGATCATGATGGGCTGGTGCAATATGAATTGGGTGCAGCTCTGACTGCCACCCCCCCACCCAGAAATGGACTAAGGGGAAGAAATTGGATGGAGGGATAAACCATAAAGGCAGCGTCTCCAAATTCATGATTCACAGAAACAAACAGGACGACAGCTGTTGGAGGCTGTGGCCCTGAACCCTCACCCTGAGCTGTCAATCATCATGATTAAAGCTGTGTCTCTGGTGCCATGAGGCTGAAACTAATGACTACAAACACGTAGAGCAAGTCTCAACAGAGCACTGAGAATAACACCATAGAGCAGAACCATAGAGCTGTCTCAACAGAGCACAGAGAATAACACCATAGAGCAGAACCATTGAGCTGTCTCAACACCGCACAGAGAATAACACCATAAAGCAGAACCATAGAGCTGTCTCAACAGAGCACAAAGCATAACACCATAGAGCAGAACCATAGAGCTGTCTCAACAGAGCACAGAGAATAACACCATAGAGCAGAACCATTGAGCTGTCTCAACACAGCACAGAGAATAACACCATAGAGCAGAACCATAGAGCTGTCTCAACAGAGCACAAAGCATAACTCCAGAGAGCAGAAGAACAGAGCAGAACACATAAATCCTTCAAGAGAAGTAACAGAAAATAGGTTTATGGGAAATGCTTCCTGTTTATCTTAGTATAACCATGGTAATGGCACTAATGCTAGTGATACTACTACTGTTACTGCTAATCTTACTAATACTGCTGCTGCTCTCTCTCTGGTGTCTCTCAGGTCTCTCTGGTCTCTCTCTGGTGTCTCTCAGGTCTCTCTGGTCTCACTCTGGTCTCTCTCTAGTGTCTCTCAGGTCTCTCTCTGGTCTCACTCTGGTCTCTCTGCCCTTTTTCTGTGCTTTATCTGCATTACTGTAACATAATAGTGAATAATCCACATGGTACTTGCAGACCAGTATCTGTAAAAAACATATAAATCTAAATGATATGAATAAAGCCTCACCCTGTGAGAGTGGAGCTCCTCTGCTGCTTCTGCCTCAGTACCAAACAGGGAGTGAAAAGACCTCTCCCTGTGTGCTCTGAGGCCCCTGAGGTTGGGGCCCTGTGGTCGGGGGCCTGGGGCCAAACCTCTGACCGCTGTAATGTCCGGGTCCTGCTGAACAGACTGAGCTCATACTCTGACCAGGAGCAGCAGACACAAACAACAACAGAAGTCACATGTGAGGTTTATGACATCCCCTTTCCTCCCTCCTCTCTCCTTTCCCCTTTCCTCTTTCTTCTCTCCTCTCCTCTCTCCTTTCTCCTTTCCTCTTTCTTCTCTCCTCTCCTCTCTCCTTTCCCCTTTCCTCTTTCTTCTCTCCTCTCCTCTCTCCTTTCCCCTTTCCTCTTTCTTCTCTCCTCTCCTCTCTCCTTTCCCCTTTCCTCTTTCTTCTCTCCTCTCCTCTCTCCTTTCTCCTTTCCTCTTTCTTCTCTCCTCTCCTCTCTCCTTTCCCCTTTCCTCTTTCTTCTCTCCTCTCCTCTCTCCTTTCCCCTTTCCTCTTTCTTCTCTCCTCTCCTCTCTCCTCTCTCCTCTTTCCCCTTTCCTCTTTCTTCTCTCCTCTCCTCTCTCCTTTCCCCTTTCCCCTTTCCTCTTTCTCCTCTCCTCTCCTCTCTCCTCTCTCCTCTTTCCCCTTTCCTCTTTCTTCTCTCCTCTCCTCTTTCCTCGCTCCTCTCTCATTTTCCACATTCCTCTTTTCTCTCTCCTCTCCTCTCTCCTTTTTCCTCTACTCCCAAGGTTGTCACTATGTAAGATAGAGCTTCTTCTTTCTGTGAACACAAAGAAAGTTACATACCCCAGATTTAAACTCTTTTACTGTCTTACTGTCTTTTTTTTAACTTGTTTCATGGCATTGTCACTGTTCAAATGGTGAGCAAGTATGAATTCAGTTTAACGTAATTATTAATCATAAAATCAATACTTGCTACAACGAATCCTGGCTTCGGATTGGCTCTCACAGACGTCTGTCAAAGCGCTTCTCCGCTCCGCCTCCGTTGCCGTTGCCTGGTAACAGCAGCTATGCGAACTGATGCTAAACACAAATCCTCTCGTGTTTCTGGGACTTTTCCGGAGAATTAAAGCATTTTGAGCTCTCTTTCTCCGCCGAATCCGCAGCTCCGAAGCCATGGCGGGCATAAAGGACGGAGAATACACCGCTACGATCTACAAACTGGTGAAAAGCCAATGTTATAGCTCCGCATTAGCCGCCTCAGCTAGCATGCTAATGCTAACGACATGTTGTCATGAACCAAAAGTAAAAAGGCTCTTTCGCCTGAATGACCCAATATTGCAGTTGTTAAAATTATTGTTTTGTTCTGGGATAAAGGCTTAGAAGAACCTGTATAACGTTACTCTTTATATTTAAGGTTTTTGTTGTTGTTGAGAATGGTCTGTGATCTCTCTGGTCTCTCTCTGGTCACTTTCTGGTCTCTCTCTCTGGTCTCTCCCTCTGGTCTCTCTCTATGGTCTCTCTGGTCTCTCCCTCTGGTCTCTCTCTCTGCTGGTCGCTTTCTGTTCTCTCTAACTTTACTATCTCCTGGTTATTGTTTTAGATCAAAGAAAGCCAGTATGTCGACGCCATTCACATCCTGAACGGACAGCTACAGAAACACCCAAAGGTAAAAGAGTAATTTTCAAACCACAAAGAGATGGAACTCTGTGATCAGGTCCTTGTCTAATGGCCTTCTTCTGCTATCAAAAAGGAGCTATTCAGAACATTAACACCAGTTGTCATCCAGCCAGCTTCAGCTCTACCAGTATAAGTTAAGAGAACCAGTATGAATGTTGTACCTTGTTGTAAAGCTCAGTACTTTTAGAATTCAGATGTTGACTTTACTTGAAAATACTGACATTTATTTTTGAGTCACATATCTATGTAATAATGAAATAATAATGCCTCGGTGTTATATAGCGCTTTTTGAGGCTTCACATGTCATTATTCATTCACTCCAAACACGGTGGCAATAAACTACTACTTTTGCCACAACTGCCCTGGGGCACACTGACAGAAGCAAGGCAACCAGTCTGTTCGATCGGCCCCTCCGACCCTCACCAACCATCCACACACACTATACTCATTCTAGGCAATGTGAGTGGAGTGTCTTGCCTAAGGACACAACGGCAGTGAGGGGCTGGTGCTTTGTGACTTGGCACCCCCGAGCCAGAAATGGATTAAGGGGTAGAAAATGGATGGATAGATCATTACAATGTAGTGATATATATTGTTTAAAGTGTAGAGCTGATGTAGCCTCCTCCTCTCTCCCGTATCTCTGTTCTCAGTCGCGAGCCGCCCTCTCTCTGCTGGGATACTGCTTCTTCCACCTGCAGGATTTTTCTGCTGCAGCGGAGTGCTACGAGCAGCTGAGCGCGCTGCACCCAGAGGTTGAGGACTACAGGCTCTACCACGCCCAGGCCCTCTACAAGGCTGGAGCCTATCCTGAGGCTACTAAGGCCTGCTTCTCCCTGGACACTCCCACCTGCCACACCAAGGTACCACAGCAGCGACAGTGGCCAGAGATAAAGACCAGAGAGAGGCTAGAGAGGGAGGACTGAGAGGGAGGCCTGAGAGCGAGGGCTGAGAGCGAGGCTTGAGAGGGAGGCCTGAGAGCGAGGCCTGAGAGCGAGAGACCACAGAGAGAGAGGCCTGAGAGCGAGGCTTGAGAGGGAGGCCTGAGAGCGAGGCCTGAGAGCGAGAGACCACAGAGAGAGAGGCCTGAGAGCGAGAGACCACAGAGAGAGACCACAGAGAGAGACCACAGAGAGAGAGGCCTGAGAGCGAGAGACCACAGAGAGAGAGGCCTGAGAGCGAGAGACCACAGAGAGAGACCACAGAGAGAGAGGCCTGAGAGCGAGAGACCACAGAGAGAGACCACAGAGAGAGAGGCCTGAGAGCGAGGCCTGTGAGCGAGAGACCACCAGAGAGAGAGGCCTGAGAGCGAGAGACCACAGAGAGAGACCACAGAGAGAGAGGACTGAGAGAGACCACAGAGAGAGAGGACTGAGAGAGACCACAGAGAGAGAGGACAGAGAGGATAGTGCTCAGAGATGAGGTTTTGCTCCAACTCGCTCTGGCTCCTTTTAACTTACCTGCAAAAGTAAACTCCTCTCGTCTGTATTTGTTTTTATAAATCCAGATATGAACCGTAAGGATTGCTCTTTTGTGTCTGAATTGTGTCTTGACTCACTCACTTAAAGTGCTCTCTCTGCTTTTTGTGTTGGCACAGATGGTGAAGCTTCAAGCCTGCATCAAATACTCTGAAGAGGACTATTCTGCTGCAAAGGTACAGAGCAGAGAACGGGGATCATAAGAGAAACGCACACATTGATGACGGAAAGACGATATCCGTGCACTTCTAGACCATATTGTAATAACGCCCTCTCTATGTGCAGCCTTTAGTATTAGACAGCTGCAGTATATTCATAACGCTGCAGCTCGAGTCTAACTAGAACCAGGCAGTCGTGGTACAGGCATCTCATTAGTCCTGGTCTCAGGTCTCTGTCCTGAAGTCCTCCAACATTAGCCCTTGTTATATTCAGCACTTTGAGTTGTGTATGAACTGTGCTATACAGATAAACTTGCCTCAGACCACAGTGTGATGTGTATACAGTCTTTGCTGGAGCAGCTGCCTCAGGACGACCCTGACTACATCTTCAACAGCGGCTGTTTACTTTACAACGACGGGAAGTATGAGGAGGCCTGCAAGAAGTTCACCTCTGCTTTGCAGCTGCTGGGATACGTGCCTGGTACCTGAACTCTATTCAGTTGTATTCATTTTTTTTATCACACTAAATCACAGAAGCAGTAATCTCAGAGGACACAAAAAATGTAATGATAAAAACACTTTTGGTTCGTAAGGGCTGAGACCAATGTCCAGAAAATGAATGTTGATGAATGTTGTGGTTTTGGAAAATGATCAGACTCTGTTTAGGTAATATAAAGAAAGGTTTGATCTATATTTATAAAATATAGATTACAGCCGGATTCAGGCAAAGCATCCGCCTGGGTCCAAGAAGATGACAGTAAAGACAAAGACCCAACCAGAGCTGCTGGTCTCATACCAGAGGTGATGTCACGTAAATGATCTTAAAGGTCAATGTTCTACAGGCCTTAGGAGCGTCCCAGACACATTCAAATGTATGAAAGAAGTTTATGGAAATCAAGAATATAATAACAGTGTCCATAGGTGTCCTGAATTAGCACCAATGTCCTTAGAACCTCCTGCATCAGAGAGGAACAGCTTTAAAAATTCTAAAACCTCTGAAACCTCTGATTCTCGGTAAAACCCTGGGGTGTCTGGTTTGGGCTCAACCCGATCTGAATGTTTTTCTTGTGATTGACAGCTCTGTCCTACAACATCGCTCTTTGCTACTATAGCCTGAAGAACTACGCGCAGGCCCTGAAGTACATCAGCGAAATCATCGAGAGAGGCATCAGAGAGCATCCAGGTGTGAGATCAGCGTGACATCACCACCGTGACATTAGCCTTAACCCTTTAGGCGCCGGAGTTTTTTCAAGAAAATACACCATTTTGATTTCAAAAGACTATAACTTTAAAATGGTTTGAGATAAATGCATACTGTAAATTACAAATATCTTCAGTTTGAACCAAACTTTGGGATGGAAGTCGATTCGTCATCTAATTTGCATATTGTGACATCATCAAGGTGGCGGCCATATTGGAAAATGTAAATTCTGTATAAAGATTTCCAAATGCTGTAGCTTAGGAGTTTTTTTTAGATCAGGGAATACTAACAGCACTAAATGTGAAATATCTTTAGTATGAAATGATTTTGGGATAGAAATAAATTCCCTGATCCAGATTATAAATGATGTTTTAGCACATATGGGGCCATATGGAATTGTATTATTTTCAAAGACCTTCAGTGATCAAGACAGCACTCTTTATAGTTTACAGTCATGAAATCTGGAGATTGGTTTCAATATTTCCCTTTCAAAGAAGTAGTAAGCATACTATTTTTCTCAGTGGAAATGGAGCTCCAGGATTTACAGAGAGAAACAGAGATGAAATGAATGGGCACAGAACATGTCAGATCGTCTCAACAAGAAACAACAGGCTCTTCAACACTTCTGATCCACTTTTGTGGATTATTTTCTCTCAAGAACTGCCTTCAACCTCATCATCGCTGTTGGTAAAGGCAGTGACCGCGATTAGCAATGTGTTTTTTTCCCGCGGCTCCCCCGTGACTTCTCCCGCATCTCCCGTGTTCCCCGTGGATGTCTACCCCCGCTACTTTCTCCCACATGCCCGGTGTTATGATGCCCCTGTCCCCTCGACCACGGCCCCTGCTTGGCGTTCACAGAATGCTTCTACAGCGGCCACACGGAGGACAAGCAGCCGCTGTACAGGGGCTGATTGTGGACTATATGGCGCGGTCTCCCCGTCACCAATAATGTCAGTGTCTGCTTCACTGGACACCTGCGTGTCTTCCTCCTCTGAATCTGAGTGAGCCAGTACCAGACCAAGTACTTCTCTGGTACTGAAGACCTCGTGAGTAAAATAAAAAAAAAGCTCTGCTCTCGCTCCTCTCAGCTCTACCGCTGCTGCTTCGCCTCCGCGCTGCAGCGCCGCAGGTGTTTTACAAACTCAATTTACTCAAAAACTTTCAATATAACCACACCCACAAATGCTGCTCATATTACAAGCACACATGTCCACTAGCCCCTGGTGAAAAGTATTAACAAGATTCTGCACCACATTTTTACATACAGCCTGTTTAAGTGAGCAATGTTGCTTGTCGCAATATTGCGACTTTGGCGCTTAAAGGGTTAATGCAGAAGAAGCTGATTTTGTGTGTGTGTATGTGTATGTGTGTGTGTGTGTGCGCGTGTGTGTGTGTCTGCGCAGAGCTGAGTGTCGGGATGACCACAGAAGGCATTGATTACCACAGCGTTGGAAACACTCTGGTTCTGCATCAGACGGCGCTGATTGAGGCCTTTAACCTGAAGGCAGCCATCGAGTATCAGCTCAAAAACTGTGAGTCTGCAATGTTTATTATAATTATGCATCCGTTTAATAAAGAGCGTTTCAGTGCGCTCAAAGATGCTTCACATGTCATTATTCTTTCACTCTAACACAGTGGTGATAAAATATTACTGTAGCCACAACTGCCCTGGGGCACGCTAACAGAAGCGAAGCAACCACTATGTGCCATCAGACCTTCCGATCACCACCAACCATTCACACACACACCAGACTCATTCTACATCACAGTACTTACTAGGCCCTGCCCTGCTTAGCTTCAGAGGTCTGACGAGATCTGGATTTCGCACGCAAGTATGGCCACAATGTTCCAACACTCACCTGCTGGGGAGACCAAGAGACCAGAGAGAGACCAGAGAGAGACCAGAGAGAGACCAGAGAGAGACCAGAGAGAGACCAGAGAGAGACCAGAGAGAGACCAGAGAGAGACCAGAGAGAGACCAGAGAGAGACCAGAGAGAGACCAGAGAGAGACCAGAGAGAGACCAGAGAGAGACCAGAGAGAGACCAGAGAGAGAGACCGTAAAGTGAGGCCGTAGAGTGAGGCCGTAGAGTGAGGCCGTAGAGAGCCACCAGAAAGAGAAAGTGAATATTGCCTGTCGTTAGTCCCTTGCAAAGATAAAGTGCCTCCTCCACAAAATCTGAATAATTCATCACTAATAAGAAAACCAAGCAATAATAATTAACACTGGTCTCAATACAACAGCAGCAGCCATTACTCAGACTTGCACCAGCAGAACACGACTCCACAGATTCTCACTTCATCAATAATGTTGCGACAATTATAAAAACCTGGTTCTGAAGGACTGATTAGTTGGAGTTTGCTGTGATCAAAGTGCAGAGTTCTTTGTGAAACTTCTGCTGCTCTTTTATCTTGTCTCTGTCACTGTTTCACCAAAGCTTCAAAGATCCAGGATCAAAACCACAGGGTGAAATTCAAATGGAGACAAGCCAGACGAGAGAGAGCAGAGAGAGAGCAGAGAGAGAGCAGAGAGAGAGCAGAGAGAGAGCAGAGAGAGAGCAGAGAGAGAGCAGAGGGAGAGCAGAGGGAGAGCAGAGAGAGAGAGCAGAGAGAGAGAGCAGATGGGGAGCAGAGTGAGAGCAGAGAGAGCAGATGGGGAGCAGAGTGAGAGCAGAGGGAGAGCAGAGAGAGAGAGAGCAGAGAGAGAGCAGAGGGAGAGCAGAGAGAGAGCAGAGAGAGAGAGCAGAGGGAGAGCAGAGGGAGAGCAGAGGGAGAGCAGAGAGAGAGCAGAGAGAGAGCAGAGAGAGAGCAGAGAGAGAGCAGAGAGAGAGCAGAGGGAGAGCAGAGGGAGAGCAGAGGGAAAGCAGAGAGAGAGCAGAGGGAAAGCAGAGAGAGAGCAGAGAGAGAGAGAGCAGAGGGAAAGCAGAGAGAGAGAGAGCAGAGGGAGAGCAGAGAGAGAGAGCAGAGGGAGAGCAGAAAGAGAGAGCAGAGGAAGAGCAGAGAGAGAGCAGAGAGAGAGCAGATGGGGAGCAGAGAGAGATCAGAGAGAGACCAGCTTGTATTTTAATGATCAAATAATTAGTTTAGACCTTTTAGAGTCACAGTTGCCTTATCCAATCAGAGGCTGATCTGGTCTTTTAACATTTTGCCAATAATATATTTGTCAATCTTTTCTCCTAATTTTCTCAACAGTATCTCTTTTATACCATATATCTGTGTATGTATGTATTTTTTCTAATCTATAATAGTAATTTTAGTTTTTGAGTTATAACCTTTTAAAGGCAATGCAAGTTTATTTATATAGCACAATTCATACACAAGGCAATTCAAAGTGCTGAACAAAATAAGAAAGCAGGGGTAGGCAAAGGGGGTAGGCACTAATAAGCTTTCTTGCTTCAGCCTACTCCTTTTGAGCTACTTTATAACAGTGTAATCTTGTAATAATGCAAACTATTTTTGTAAAAAATGCTCAAATAAATAATAATGAATCAATCAAAAGTCTAGATACTCAGACTCAGAGGGAGAGCAATGAGAGAGAGACCAAGAACATTCTAGACAGAACGAATACCATAAAAACCTTGCACAGGGAGGATCCGGTGAATGAGAATGTGTTTGTGTTTTCAGTGAAAGGAGCTCAGGAGGCGCTGACCGACATGCCTCCCAGATGTGAGGAGGTAAACTGCTCCACTCCCCCTCATTCTTCACAACAGCTGAGAAACATGCCCCATCGATTCTCCCAAGGCCAATGGTTCATAAAACTGTCTCTGTCACTGGGAGGTCAAACACACAACTCATCTTTTTATCACGAGGACGAGATTAGGGCTAACACTGCCCTCTGCTGGACAATCAGTGCCACTCTGAGATTCTCATGGGAAAAACATACTAGAAATGATTTGTATTTGTAGTGAGTTTGATTAGTAGGAAGAATGCATAGTGGTAGAGGGAGACCAGAGAGGGAGACCAGAGAGGGAGACCAGAGAGGGAGACCAGAGAGGGAGACCAGAGAGGGAGACCAGAGAGGGAGACCAGAGAGGGAGACCAGAGAGGGAGACCAGAGAGGGAGACCAGAGAGGGAGACCAGAGAGCGGGAGGTCAGAGAGAGGGAGACCAGAGAGCGGGAGGTCAGAGAGCGGGGTCAGAGAGCGGGAGGTCAGAGAGCGGGAGGTCAGAGAGCGGGAGGTCAGAGAGCGGGAGACCAGAGAGAGGCTGCTGTTGTTGTTGTGAGATATAACTGCATGTGTGTATATGTGTTTAGGAGCTGGACCCTGTAACCCTCCATAACCAGGCCCTGCTCCACATGGACCTAAAGCCTAGTGAGGGGTTTGAGAAGCTGGCCTTCCTCTTGCAGCAAATCTCCTTTCCTCCAGTTACCTTTGGGAACCTGCTTCTGCTCTACTGCAAACACGAGGTACTACTCAGAGACCAGAGAGAGACCAGAGAGAGACCAGAGAGAGACCCGAGAGAGACCCGAGAGAGACCCGAGAGAGACCCGAGAGAGACCCGAGAGAGACCCGAGAGAGACCCGAGAGAGACCCGAGAGAGACCCGAGAGAGACCCGAGAGAGACCAGAGAGAGACCAGAGAGACCAGAGAGAGACAGGCTCCAGGAGGATTAGAACTGACTCGAACAAAGTTATTCTGTTTTCACACATTCACTTGTAATGTCCTTGTAGTGTTTTCTGGGTGGGTGTTGTTCACCATATTGTGACGCAGCAGGAGTGTGAGGACCCCCTGGATTTTGATCTGCGTCTGTGTTCATGTGTTTCATTAAAATGGGAGGACGCATTTTAATTTACGTATTGTAATTTCACTGTGGTCTGCTGTCGTTAAAATAGAATAGAACTCTATTGTCTGTTCAGTTCATGGGGCGACAGTAGCTCAGTTGGCCTTTGGGCTAGAAGGTCGTGGGTTCGATCCCCCCACAAGACCTACTCCAACTGCTCCCACTATTGTGTACTGTTCTTCTGTCCTTGGGCAAGACACTTAACCCCACGCTGCCTGAAGCCCCCGCTGAGAGAACAAGTCTGTGTCATGGCTGACAGAGCGGAAGCCATCTTCCTGTGGATCCACCACCTGCCAGAGAATCAGCGAGGGACTGGTGCGATGAGCGTTGGGTGGCAGCTCTCATTGCCACGTCATTGTCATTAATAAAGCGGTTGAAAATGAATGAATGAATGAACAACAGTTCATGATTTATGAGTTGTTTAGAGCAATGACTACAGATGGGACAAACAATCACTTGAAGATGTTTTTTTGGGTCAGCGAGGTTTTGTATCTCCTGCCTGATTGCAGCAAATTGAAGTAGCCATACAGCGGATGTGGCATCCTCAGTGTTGTGTCCTTGGGCAAGAGACCTAACCCCACTTTGCCTGAAGCCGCTGAATGATCAAGGAGAATCAGTGAGGGGCTGGTGCTCTGGGAATTGGCCGACCCATAATGAATTAAGGGGAAGAAGAGGTCCATGTTTCTCATTATAATGTGTCCTCCTCCTTTAGTATTTCGACCTGGCGGCTGACGTCCTGGCGGAGAACGCACATCTCACCTACAAGTTCCTGTCTCCAGTGAGTAGAACCTGTGTAAAAACCTGTATGAGTTCCACAGCAGGGACGACCACTGTCCACAAATGTTCATTAATGTGATAAATGTCATGGTTCATCACTGCAGACCTTACATCATCAGAAAAAAACCCAGGACTGAGGCTGTAGATCATGTGTTTCCTACTTGTTTCCTCAGTACATGTACGAATTCTTAGATGCACTGCTGACCTGCCAGACAGCCCCAGAAGAGGTGAGGACACAACACTTATTTATACACTCTCCAAACATACACAATGCAGGACTAGAGCTGACTCACACAGGCCCTTTGATTAGGAATCTGGAGCCATATCTCTAGATACTTTTGACCCTCATCAAACTTATAGTGTGTTTTTTGTCTTAAGGCTTTCAGGAAGTTTGACGAGATGAATGGGAAAATGACGGAGCAGCTTCGGAAAGTAGCCAAACAGGTGAAGAGTCTGTGTGAGAGTCAGATGGTGTGAAGAATCTGAAGGAGTGTCTGAATCTGTTTTTTTTTTTGTTCTTCTACTACACAAGACAATTGTAAGATGGTGTCTCACTCTGGTCTATCCCTGGTCTCTCTCTGGTCTCTCTCTTGTCTCTCTCTGGTCTCTCTCTGGTCTCTCTCTGGTCTCATTGGTCTCTCTCTGGTCTCTCTCTGGTCTCTCTCTGGTCTCTCTCTGGTCTCTCTCTGGTCTCTCTCTGGTCTCTCTCTGTTCTCTCTCTGGTCTCTCTCTGGTCTCTCTCTGTTCTCTCTCTGTTCTCTCTCTTGTCTCTCTCTTGTCTCTCTCTTGTCTCTCTCTTGTCTCTCTCTTGTCTCTCTCTGGTCTCTCGTTGGTCTCTCTCTGGTCTCTCTCTGTTCTCTCTCTGGTCTCTCTCTGGTCTCTCTCTGTTCTCTCTCTGGTCTCTCTCTTGTCTCGCTCTTTGGTCTCTCTGTCTTGGTCTCTCTGATCTCTCTTTGGAGCTGGAGAAGGCTGGTATAGAAAAACCAAAAAACCTCATTTTACCAAGAATATAAGATGAACTTCCTAAAGTGTCTGAATGTCTCTGGTGTTGTGTGTGTGCAGTTACAGGAGGCTCGTTTGGCTCGAGACGATGACGGCCAGAAGAGGGCGCTGCAGGAGTACGACCAGATGCTGGAGAAGTAAGACTTTCTGATGATTGAAGTTCAATGGTTTTAGGTCCTTGTGTCTTGTTGGAGTTTCTTAGATCGACATTGAGTATTTTATCCAATCATGTATCCGAAATTGGGCGACAGTAGCTCAGTTGGTAGAGCATTGGCCTTAAGGCCAGAAGGTCGTGGGTTCAATTCCCACCTCTGCACCGACTCCCACTGATGACTGCTGTCGTTGTGTCCTTGGGCAAGACACTTAACCCCACTTTGCCCAAAGCCCCCACTGAAAGATCAAGGCTATGCTCACACTCAAGGCGCGTTCAGACCAAAAGCTTCAAAAAGCTTTTGACGCGCTTCAACTGACGCCGGGATAGTTTTGTCATTTTGGTGCTTGAAGCTTTTGACGCGAGTGACGCGCCTGACGCCGGTGGGAGGAGCTTCTCTGTTGCCTGTAGTCAGGACAGCGGTGGATTTTTCAATGAGCAGCGAGCATTTATTTGTTATATAAAGCAAAATAACGTTGTTGTAGGGCTTCAACAAAACATGTTCTGGGTTCACCACAGACTGAGGCTGCAGTGTTTGCAGAGTTCAGTCATTTACTCCAGGAGCTGCGTACGGAGGAGTTTCGCTTTCAGCGGTACTTCCGCATGTCACTCGCCCAGTCTGAGTTCTCAAACCCCGGAGCTCGCCTCTCCCCGGCTCTCCCCGGCTCTCTCTCACCTCTCCCTGCCTCTCCCCGGCTCTCTCTCACCTCTCCCTGCCTCTCCCCGGCTCTCGCCCGCCCGGAGCAGCCTTGCTCTGAGCCAGACTCATCGTCAGCCTGTTCTTATTTTAAATAAACTACGTTTACTACACAGCATGTGTACAATGATTTTGTTAATCAGAACGTTACTACTCATACAAATAATATTACTAATAACAATAATGACAATTAAACAGCAGCAGCAGATACATGACTTCTCTCCATGACAGAGACAGACCCTCTGCTGCTGCTGCTCCTCGTCTCCTGATTGGTTGAAGCCCGCGTCAAAGCTTCAAAAGCTCAGCTTTGCTCAGCTTCGGCGTCAAAGGGATTGTTGTGATACGCGAGCGTTTCGCGCGTCAAAAGCTTCAAGTGAGCGCGTAGTACGCGCGACTCTTGAAGCTTTTGACGCGCGTCAAGTGACGCCGGGCCCCTCGGCTTCACCTGACGCGCTTCACCATTCACTTTCAATGCAAACCTGACGCTTTTGACGCCGAAGTTAAGTCCGGTGTGAACGCCCCTTCAGAGAGCAGCCGTCCTCCTGTGGACTCACCACCTGCAGAGGGTCAGTGAGGGGCTGGTGCTATGAGACTTGGGTGGCATCTCTGATTGCCACCCCCCTGACCCAGAAATTGATTAAAGGGTAGAAAATGGATGGATGGATGGATGGTATCCGAAATCAGGGACTGCCAATCAATAGATGCTCTACAACTAAATCAGACCTGGGCAAACTACGGCCTGGGAGCCACATATGCCCCGATTCACTGTCCTATGCGGTCCCTGGACCCTTTCAAACTGTTAACCTCAAACCGATCAGTGGCGTAATTAAATGGATTAGGATTTAGCAAAAAAACATGAGCAATGAACCAACTCTGGGTTCTCCTTCTACTTGATGTGGAGTCTGCTGTAGCTCTGTGTTCTTCTGCAGGTACATCGTGGTGCTCATGGCTCAGGCAAAGATCTACTGGAACCGTGAGAACTTTGTTATGGTGGAGAAGATCTTCCATAAGTCTGTGGAGGTCTGCAACGAGGACGACACCTGGAAACTCAACGTGGCCCATGTTCTCTTCATGCAGAACAAGTACAAAGAGGCGATAGGATTCTACGAGCCCATTGTCAAGAAGCACTACGAGAGCGTGAGTGACAGCAGAGGACTGGAGGGCTGTGATCTGAGCACCTCCTGCTCTTGTGGAGGAGTTGTCTGATCATAGATGTATGTATGTGGGGAGTGTAACCTCTTCTCTACATGGTCTAGAGGCCACTTGCGGTACTGCAGCCTAAATCCATATGAACTAGAGGCTACCCGTGGTACTGCAGCCTAAATCCACATGGACTAGAGGCCCCCCGTGGTACTGCAGCCTAAATCCACTGTGGACTAGAGACCACTCGTGGTACCGCAGCCGAAATCCACACTCATGATTGAAGTTGTTTTTGTTGCAGATGGAGCAGTGCAACATTCAGGAGTGTCCGTGCAAATGCAAACCGTCGGTAAATGCGTGGATCTGAGTGACTTTGCTTTTGCAGTGAATCTTCTCTCCATCCTTTAAACTCATGGGGTTGAGCTCTATCCCCCTGGCCCTGCCGAGGTTTCCTCCAGGTGCTCCAGTTTCTCCTATCACTAAGGCTTTAGAGGTTCTTCTAATACGACAAGAAAAGTAAAGAAAGCTAGTGCTGCTTAATTACCTGAAGAAGAAGATGGAATGAACTTTTTACATATCTCCTATCACTAACTACATGTTTATCTGCTGCTGTCGGTGTGAGCAGAATTAAGCTCTATGACCTTATTTTATACAGCTCATTATTTTAATTTTTTTATTTGAATTTAGGACAGTACATATTCATCAATGTGTCTGCAAACAGCGTCAACATAATTATGCAGGAATTAGCACGAGCTAAATTGCATCCAATGTAGGTAAGAGACACACAAACACACAGTTAGGTCAAAGTATAAACAATTAATCAACAAGCACAACATAAAGAATTTAAAATAGGAGATTCAGATTCAGATTCATTTAGAGAAAGAGAAAGTCCAAGGAAGAGCAGATCTATGGGAGCATGACTGGTTTGATTTCCAATGTTTCAGGACTGTTTGGTTCCACAGTTTTGTATGTGTTCCATAAAGTGTTCAATAACGTTGTGCCTCTGATGGACGCCACCATTTGGCTGAATTTAGTCCTGCGCCTTTGTATGTTACAGTCTCCTCTGGTGCTCTGCTTCTGATGCCACGGTTTTTTTTTTCCCATATAAAATCCATTAAGGGAGGAGGAGCAAGTCCATTTAATACTTTAATAATAAGGCAAGCGTCCAGAAACTTCTGATAATTCTCAAAATCACTTACTTACAATGTGACAAAGTTTGAAAGTTAAGGTTGAATCAAAGATGACTTCCAGATATTTAAATTGTTGTACCACCTCTCCATTGACCAGAACAGATGGCTGTTCACTCCCTCCTGGCTGACGGGAGAAGAACATGCATACAGTTTTTATAGTATTTAAGTGTAGGTAGGAGTTTTAGAGCCATCATGTTACTGAAACCATGGCCCCAGAGAGGACTGCAGCTGCTTCTGCTTTTGATTTTGCCTGAGTATACAGAACCGTGTCATCATTAATGTATTTTTACTGCGTTACATACCTTTGGTAAATCATTTATGTATAAAGTGAACAAAATTGGCCCCAATGCTGAGCCTTGGGGGACTCCAGCAGAGCAAGTGAGATAAGATGAGCAAGTTTGTTCTATTTGTACAGCTTGCTTTCTGTCAGCAAGAATCCAGCAGAGAGCGCTTTCAGAAAAGTTGAAGAATGTTAACTTGGTCAGGAGAGCCAAGACGTGCTAGACGCATCTCTTTAACAACTTCATTTCTAAGTGATGTAAAGATATATCGGCTACTTGTATTACCCGACTTCAGAGATTTCCTTAAAGCATTGTCTCTTCTATAATGTCTCTTCTATAATGTCTGGTTTCTGGTCTCTCTCTGGTCTCTCTCTGGTCTCTCTCTGGTCTCTCTCTGTCTCCCTGGTCTCTCTCTGTCTCTCTCTGGTCTCTCTCTGTCTCCCTGGTCTCTCTCTGGTCTCTCTCTGGTCTCTCTCTGGTCTCTCTCTCTCTCTCGCTGGTCTCTCGCTGGTCTCTCGCTGGTCTCTCGCTGGTCTCTCTCTGGTCTCTCTCTGGTCTCTCTCTGGTCTCTCTCTGGTCTCTCTCTGGTCTCTCTCTGGTTTCTCTCTGGTCTCTCTCTGGTCTCTCTCTCCTCTCTCTCTCCTCTCTCTCTCCTCTCTCTCTCCTCTCTCTCTCCTCTCTCTCTCTCCACACATGGAGGGAGCATGGAGGTCTTCCCAGATGCTGTTTCTCTGTAAGCACCTGTGAATAATATATTTGCTTCTCTCTGGTCTCTAGATCTTGAACGTGAGTGCGGTGGTGCTGGCCAACCTGTGTGTTTCCTACATCATGACAAGCCAGAATGAGGAGGTGACTCTGTTTTTCTAGTCTCTTTAGAACCATCAGGTCCCTTTACCAACTTCTGGACCATGTGAGGGAGACTCTGGTTGTGTTTCAGGCTGAGGAGTTAATGAGGAAGATCGAGAAAGAGGAGGAGCAGATCTCGTACGATGATCCGGAGAAGAAGGTGTTTCATCTCTGCATCGTCAACTTAGTCATCGGGTGATTATACTGTGTATAGATGGACGATGTTCTCTGCTCTCTCTCTCTCTGGTCTCTCTCTCTCTGTTCTCTCTCTCTCTGTTCTCTCTCTGGTCGATGGACAATGTTCTCTGGACTCTCTCTCTGATCTCTCTCTCTAGTCTCTCTCTCTGTTCTCTCTCCCTGGACTCTCTCTCTGGTCTCTCTCGCTCTGTTCTCTCCCTGATCTCTCTGGTCGATGGACATTGTTCTCTGGTCTCTCCCTGATCTCTCTCTCTCTGGTCTCTCCCCTTGGTCTCTCTCTCTCTGGTCTCGCTCTCTGGTCTCTCTCTCTCTGGTCTCTCTTTCTGGTCTCTGGTATTTATCTCTTATAGTGATATGTAGATAAATGCTTGGTAAGTCATGATTTTGAGGGTTGTACTGTAATCCCCTCTGAGACCAGCTGATTATCTCCTGCTTTGACCTATGTTTTTTCTATATTTCCAGTTTGAAACCATGAAAACTTGAATGGATCGATACCAGATGGAATTTTAGTTTCTGTTTGTGATTGAAGCCTTGACTTCACTGTGAATAATAAACTGTTACTGTTTTCTCCTCAGGACGTTGTACTGCGCCAAAGGAAACTACGACTTTGGTATCTCCCGAGTGATAAAGAGTTTGGAGCCGTATAACAAGAAGGTGAGACCAGAGAGAGAGACCAGAGAGAGAGACCAGAGAGAGAGACCAGAGAGAGAGACCAGAGAGAGAGACCAGAGAGGGAGACCAGAGAGGGAGACCAGAGAGGGAGACCAGAGAGGGAGACCAGAGAGGGAGACCAGAGAGGGAGACCAGAGAGGGAGACCAGAGAGGGAGACCAGAGAGGGAGACCAGAGAGGGAGACCAGAGAGGGAGACCAGAGAGGGAGACCAGAGAGGGAGACCAGAGAGGGAGACCAGAGAGGGAGACCAGAGAGGGAGACCAGAGAGGGAGACCAGAGAGGGAGACCAGAGAGGGAGACCAGAGAGAGAGACCAGAGAGAGAGACCAGAGAGAGAGACCAGAGAGAGAGACCAGAGAGAGAGACCAGAGAGAGAGACCAGAGAGAGAGACCAGAGAGAGAGACCAGAGAGAGAGACCAGAGAGAGAGACCAGAGAGAGAGACCAGAGAGAGAGACCAGAGAGACAGACCAGAGAGACAGACCAGAGAGACAGACCAGAGAGAGAGACCAGAGAGAGAGACCAGAGAGAGAGACCAGAGAGAGAGACCAGAGAGACAGACCAGAGAGACAGACCAGAGAGACAGACCAGAGAGACCAGAGAGAGACCAGAGAGAGAGACCAGAGAGAGAGACCATACAATGAGACCAGAGAGAGAGAGACCAGAGAGGGAGAGACCAGAAAAGGAGACAAGAGAGAGAAACTTCCAGGTCCAGAGACTTCGATTGGACTCCGGGGTTAAGGACTTGGACTTGCGGCTCAGAAGCTTGTGTGCATCTCTGCCAGAGAAAGACCAGAGAAAGACCAGAGAAAGGCCAGACAAAGGCCAGAGAGAGACTAGATAAAAGCTAACCACATTGATCTTCCTGACCTGTGCTTCATGGTCCTCAGCTCGGCACTGATACCTGGTTTTATGCCAAACGTTGCTTCCTGTCTCTGCTGGAGAACATGTCCAAACACACAGTGATGCTGCGCGACGCCGTGGTCCAGGAGTGTGTGACCTTCCTCCAGCACTGTGAAGGTTAGAGCTGGGCCAGTCCTGCTTTAGTCCTGCTTTAGATCTGCTTTAGATCTGCTTTAGTCCTGCTTTAGTCCTGCTTTAGTCCTGCTTTAGTCTTGCTTTAGACCTGCTTTAGACATGCTTTAGTCCTGATTTAGTCCTGATTTAGTCCTGCTTTAGTCCTGCTTTAGTCCTGCTTTAGTCCTGCTTTAGTCCTGCTTTAGTCCTGCTTTAGTCCTGCTTTAGTCCTGCTTTAGACCTGCTTTAGACATGCTTTTGTTCAGCTTTAGTCCTGCTTTAGACCTGCTTTATGCTGTGTATGTCTCAGTTTATGGCAGAGAGGTTCCGGCTCTGATCGAGGCGCCACTGGAGGAGCCTCGCGTTCACGTTGGGAAAAACACTGTGACGTTTGAAGCTCGAGTTCTGAAGGAGCTGTTCTATGATGTCACCGGCTGGAACAAGTGACGTCATTGTGATGTCACTATGAGGTCAGTCTATGGGAGCACAGAGAGACAGAATGCGGGGATCTTGACCTGTGAAACGTCGCCCTCTGGTGGTGGAAACGATTGTGGTCAATATTTGATCATTTTAAAGAAGAACTCTGATGCTCAGCTGACGAACAAACCTTGGTGATCACATGACCCCATCAGACAGACTGTTTCAAACCCACGTTCTGAGGAGAGCAGTGGATCAAAAGGATTGAACGGAAGATTGAAAAGACAAACAGAACATTCCAAAAGCTCTAGTGTTTAAATAGTTTATTGGAGTATTTTACAAATATCTGAAATATTTATGTCAAATAAAGATTAAGCTTCAGATTATGTTAAAACTTGTCCTGCTATAGTCCTGGTTTAGTCCTGGTTTAGTCCTGCTATAGTCCTGGTTTAGTCCTGGTTTAGTCCTGCTATAGTCTGGTTCAGGACAGCGGTCTCTTGGTGATGTCTTGCTCAGCGAGGTAAAAGTTCAGGTATCCTCCGAGCGCACCCACTGCCACTCCGGTCATGTGACTGGAACAACCATCTGAGAGAGACACACATGGTTCAGAGACCAGAGAGGGAGACCAGAGAGGGAGACCAGAGAGGGAGACCAGAGAGGGAGACCAGAGAGGGAGACCAGAGAGGGAGACCAGAGAGGGAGACCAGAGAGGGAGACCAGAGAGGGAGACCAGAGAGGGAGACCAGAGAGGGAGACCAGAGAGGGAGACCAGCGTGAGAGACCAGCGTGAGAGACCAGCGTGAGAGACCAGCGTGAGAGAACCAGCGTGAGAGAACCAGCGTGAGAGAAAGAACCAGCGTGAGAGAACCAGCGTGAGAGAACCAGCGTGAGAGAACCAGCGTGAGAGAACCAGCGTGAGAGAACCAGCGTGAGAGACGGAGAGAGAGGGAGAGACCAGTATGTGTTTCTCACCGAGCAGAACCTTCTCTCTCCTCTTCACTCGATGATGCGGCTGCAGCTGCTGCAGGAGCTCCTCCCCGATTCTCTCAGACACCACACGTTCCCTGAACACCATCAAACATCACTTTAAACATCATCAACGCACCATCATCATCATCATCACACACTTTAAAGCTGTTGCCCAACTTTTTTGTGAGAAAGCGGGAGATCTGAGAGACAAGAGAGACCAGAGACAGTGGAGCGAGACAAGAGAGACCAGAGACAGTGGAGCGAGACAAGAGAGACCAGAGACAGTGGAGCGAGACAAGAGAGAGACAAGAGAGACCAGAAACAGTGGAGCGAGACAAGAGAGAGACAAGAGAGACCAGAAACAGTGGAGCGAGACAAGAGAGACCAGAGACAGTGGAGCGAGACAAGAGAGAGACAAGAGAGACCAGAAACAGTGGAGCGAGACAAGAGAGAGACAAGAGAGACCAGAAACAGTGGAGCGAGACAAGAGAGAGACAAGAGAGACCAGAAACAGTGGAGCGAGACAAGAGAGACCAGAAACAGCGGAGCGAGACAAGAGAGACCAGAGACAGTGGAGCGAGACAAGAGAGACCAGAGACAGTGGAGCGAGACAGGAGAGAGAAAGACTAGAGCGAGTGTCGTACTGTCTCGGCCGAAACATCCCACTTCCACGTCCTGAAGTCTCAGAATGTGCTGCAGCCAATCAGATTTGTAGAAGTCTGAGAAACCAGCCAATCCACAGACCAGGACTGGAACAGAGAAACACACAGACACAGTGAAACAATGTGGAACAGATACAGTACATGGATCATGATTATAATTAAAAAATATTCTCTCTCGCTGATCTCTCTTTTGTCTCTTTGGTCCCTCTTTGTGGTCTCTCTCTCAGATCTCTCTAGTCTCTCTCTGGTCTTTCTTGTCTCTCTGTGGTCTCACTGTCTCTGGTCTCTCTAACAGTGGTTTTAAAGTCAGTGTGTGATTCGTACTGTTCTCCAGGAAGATGTCTGTGTTCATAGCTCCCAGTTCGAGGCCGAGGGTCAGCAGGTCCTGGTTGGTCTTCATCATGTTCGAGCAGAAGATACTCTGGTAGCTCTGATCCGTCATGTTCACACGGGAGGCACGAGAGTCACCCTTCAGGAGGTTACTGCAGCCTTTCTGAAACCACAGTGAGACCACAGTGAGACCACAGTGAGACCACAGTGAGACCACAGTGAGACCAGAGAGAGACCAGAGCGAGACCAGAGCTAGACCAGAGGAGACCAGAGCGAGACCATAGCGAGACCAGAGCAAGACCAGAGCGAGACCAGAGCGAGACCAGAGCGAGACCAGAGCGAGACCAGAGCGAGACCAGAGAAGCTGTGCTTATTAGAACTAACTCGAAAAGGTTTAATGTGTGGGAATGTGGAGCAAAATTTATGGGGAGCAACAAAAGAGCCATTCAAGAGCAGCACTGGCCAAATTCAGGGACAAAAAGCCTTCTGATTGGTCAATCCTTATTTGGTTCATATATAAGACATTATTATATGACTTGGACCGTACGTGCGCTCTGATTGGCTGATTACCGGTCTGATATTTTTCCATCTCAGACCGTTACCATGACAATTGGTCCGAACAGCGCGTATCACATTTGATATCTTTCCTCGGACCGTTACCATGACAATCGGTCCACAGCCCGTATCACACAAAACCAAGTCGGACATGAACATACTTCACAAATATCTCAAAAGCATTGGTAAAGACACAGACGAGAGTCATATAATAAAACATTAATTAACCTCGCTTGCTCGGTCTGTGCAGAGAAATATCAGACCTTGGCCTTTTTCCACAGACCTCGCCACAGCTCGGTCTGTACATTAAGGCCGCGGTCTGATATTTCTCAATACAGACCTCGACCTTGGTTAATAAGCCGTTAATATCGCAATATAAACTCCAGGATCACAGAGAGCGACAAACCAGACTTAAGCCCAAAATGATGAGTATGTGTTGGAGGAGTTTACTTTTACATGGAAATCAATAAGAGCCAGAGAGTGTTGCCAAACTTCACCTACGAGCACTTCCCTATTGGGCTTCATAGAGCTTGCTAGCCTCGTTAGCATGGCCCATTTGTATCCAGTTACTGACCATGTGTCCGATCATGAAGTAGAGCAGCTGGTGTGAGAGAGAGTAGAAGGGACATCCGAACCGGGTCATCATGTCTCTGCACTGTTGGGTCACAATACACGGAGTCCCATTCTGCTTCCTGAACACACGAGAGAGTAAAGTAAGACCAGAGAGAGAGAGACCTGTGAGACCAGAGAAAGACCAGTCCCACTGGTCAAAACAGACAACTACAACCCCCAATGCAAGGTCGATGTGAGCACAGCTGTTGCACAAGCTGTCAGAGAGGTCAAAGGGCAACACGGGGTACTGAGACCTAATGACGACCTGGTTCAGACCTGCTTTATACCTTTAGACCTTCTTTAGACCTGCTTTAGACCTTCTTTAGACCTGCTTTAGACCTTCTTTAGACCTGCTTTAGACCTTCTTTAGACCTTCTTTAGACCTGCTTTAGACCTGCTTTAGACCTGCTTTAGACCTTCTTTAGACCTGCTTTAGACCTTCTTTAGACCTGCTTTAGACCTGCTTTAGACCTTCTTTAGACCTGCTTTAGACCTTCTTTATACCTTCTTTAGACCTTCTTTATACCTTCTTTATACCTGCTTTAGACCTGCTTTAGACCTTCTTTAGACCTGCTTTAGACCTTCTTTATACCTGCTTTAGACCTTCTTTATACCTTCTTTAGACTTGCTTTAGACCTGCTTTCGACCTTCTTTAGACCTGCTTTATACCTTCTTTAGACCTTCTTTAGACCTGCTTTAGACCTGCTTTAGACCTTCTTTATACCTTCTTTAGACCTGCTTTAGACCTTCTTTAGACCTGCTTTAGACTTTCTTTAAACCTTCTTTAGACCTTCTTTAGACCTGCTTTAGACCTTCTTTAGACCTGCTTTAGACCTGCTGTATTCCTGATCAGATGATGGTGGTGTTGATGGTCCTCACCAGGTTCCCAGCAGCAGCGTGAGACACTTATCGCTCAGATTTTCGTCGTAGCACTCGGAGCTCAGAGTGGAGGAGTAGACCAGACTTGGGTCAGTGGAGATCCAGGACCCAGGAACCTGCCAGAACCTCCAGGACATCAGGGGCTCGAACTCTGGGGAGAGACCAGGACTGTGAAAGATCAGAGGGAGACCAGAGAGAAACCAGAGGGAGACCAGAGACAGACCAGAGGGAGACCAGTGCTGTGAGAGACCAGAGAGAGCAGAAACTCTGTAGAAATGATTTGATCCAGGGTTAAAGGAAAACTAAACACAAGTGCCCAGCCTTTTACTCACATGAAAATTTGAAAATTCTCTCTAAAAAGGTTGTTGCCCAAGCAGAACCCAACCCTGAAAATATAAATTCCTTTTTCCAAAACCTAACATTACCAAAACTCCCACTCAATTTGGCCGAAAGTCTAGACGCTCCGCTAACTATCCAAGAATTACATAAATCCCTTATTCATATGCCCAACAATAAAGCGCCAGGACCAGATGGATACCCCCCTGAATTTTACAAGCACTTTTGGACCCTATTATCCCCACTCTTTCTCTGCACAGTATTAGAAATCAAAAGTACATCACATAAAGTAGGTCCCATTTCGTTTTGTCGCCTTTCACGCATGAATAGCACGAGACTCACGTGTGAAACACGCGTCTTTTAGTTTTTCCCCCCCAGTGATGCTGCAATGACCCAAACAACCACCAGGTGGCACTTGTGAGCAGGGTTAGGAACATTGGCTTCTCACCGCTCATTGGGCCTCATTCACGAACGGTTCTTAGGAACAGATTTGTACGTAAATCCTACTTACGCAGTTTTTACGAAGAAAGTGGCATTCACGAATATTTCTCGTAACCAGAATTTCTCTTGGGCAAGTACAAATCCTACGAGTCCTCAGGAGCACTCGTACGCATTCAGTGCCGACATGTTCACACGCGGGGGTTGTCCTCTTTGGTGAAGTTGAATAAAAATACAACATTCCAGTGATATGTCCGTCATATCGATGTATGTATTTATTTATTTGTAGTAATCTTTATTAGTAATCTTTATTTATATACCGCCTTTTTCACTGCAGATCTGGCCTACTTTTTAATTCATTTTGAAATGAAATGTGCCAACGCTTTATCAAATACATTGGAAATCTTGCCGTGTATTAGTGACCCCTTCCTATTTATAGGGGGCATTTCTTTATCCACGGGCCACAGAACAACGGCATATATACTGCTGCTGCAGGAGGTTACTGGATCCGCGCTGAGTCTCTGCGCTGGTCTCTCCTATGGATCTATACGGGTCTGCGCTGGTGTCTCCCATATACGGGTCTGCACTGGTCTCTCCCATGGATCTATACGGGTCTGCACTGGTCTCTCCCATATACGGGTCTGCACTAGTCTCTCCCATGGATCTATACTGGTCTGCACTGGTCTCTCCATACGGATCCGCGCTGGTCTCTCAAGTCTGGTCTATGCGGTCTCTCTTCGGTCCGCGCTGGTCTCTGCGCACCGGTCTCTCCAGTCAGGTCACTACAGTCTATGCGGTCTCTCCAGTCAGGTCACTCCAGTCTATGCGGTCTCTCCTATAGGTCCGCGCTGGTTTCTGTGTGCTGGTCACTCCAGTCTCTCCTCGGGTCTGCATTGGTCTCAGCGCTGGTCCGCGCTGGATCTCCTCCCAGGGTCCAAAATATTTTGAGATTAATCTCAAAACATTTTGAGATTCATCTTTAAAATAATACATAATATATTTTTAAATTAAGCTCATAACATTTTGAGATTAATCTCATCATATTCTTAGATTAATCTCATAATTTTGCTAGTTCGACTTTATTATCATAATATTTCGACTTTTAAGTCAAAATTTTATAACTTTATTCTCAGTCTGGTAAAAGAAGAAAAAAGGGTGACTTTTGCTCCGTGTAAAGGCCTGTTGCTGTTTCCTCTGCCGTCTGCACACGGCCCTGCAGTCCCTTATATGGGCATTAGTGGGCGGTTACTTATGCTAAGTACCTATGCTAATGAAGCACCTGGCACGCGCGCTCTACTTACGAGGAAATGGGATTCATCAATCTGAGAGAACAGCTGCGAACAATTCAGCGGCTTACGAGTGCGTTGATGAATCCCACGTGGGGACTTCTTAGAAATCTACTTAAGGACAACTTGAGAAGAAAGTTGAGTAGTTTCTTACGAAGTTATTCGTGAATGAGGCCCATTGTTCTCTATTCACCAGACAATTTTCTGTGGCGTTATAGCTCAATGATAAGGAGCTAGACTCTGGTGTGAGAGGACCCGGGTTCAAGTACAGGCTATGAAACTTTTGATTTTGTTGACGTTTAAATTTTTTCTAAAACATACTTAGTAATTAGGCCAACACATTTAAAATAGTTGCTAGACTGTAGTAAACTTGTAAAACGCGCTGGGTGTCACACATGGCTGGGGGCATTAACGCACGGGTTGCCACTTTCTATAAAAAGTCCACTTAAATTTTTAATGTAGTCCATTTAAACTTAAATGTATTTGTCACTGCTAATTTACACATGAGGCGTTACAGCACGTACGCGTTATACACGCAGCAGACGCGCGTTACTTTTTTCCATGTTAACCTATGATGATATTTACACTTCTAGCGTTATACGTGTGTATGACGGACGTATGACGCGAAGCTGCGCTCATTTAGGATGGATTTCTAATTTTGTGCGCGCACCAACGCGTCTCCAATTGAAATCTCATGTAAAACATGATTTTTCTAGCGGCCCTTGGCTCTAGATCGCATCTGCACACACACAGCACTTGTGTCTAAACATCAGCAGGAGGAGCAGCAGGTTTTACAGTGATTCTAGACATCGTTTTTTTTCTTACATAAAGTCTGGCGTCTGACCAAACCGTTGCACATGGACCCGGTGCCAATCTGCGCATTGCATAAGGGGCATCTGTGGGGCACACAGCTCTTAGCACACCGGCTGCACCACCTTACTCTACACCCCTGGAGCGCAATAAGAAACATACTTATGAGTTTAAAAAAAATCATAGATCGGGTTTACATGCTTCTTGTTCTCTGTAATTAAATTGGACTAAAAGAGAGAGATCTGTGATTCTTGCCTCTGTAATAGTCCAGGTCGTTCTGCTTCAGGGCAGCCACGGCTCGCTCCAGACTGAGTTCCAGTCTTCGGACTAGGACCACGGCTCGCCCTCTCTGAGCCCAGCTGACCGGGTCTGAGTGAGGCCAGGACTGGACCGCCGCCTTCAGCTCCGCTAGAGGGATACACACATGACAGACAAGCAGACACACAATAACAATGGACTAGGGCGCGATAATCACTATGGAATCAAATTCACAATTTTAGTGGTGGTATTTTCCAAATAAGAAAGGGAAGTATCTTTCTGGTCTTACGACCACTGTTTTTGTTGTTGTAGATAATATTCACTTTTTCATTGTGAGCGTGAAATGGACTAAACTAACTTGTGGTTTGAATGTTACGTACTTCAGCTTTAAAATGGACAGATATGCATGTGAAAAACATGTTTTTCTTTCAGCCAGTGCTGAACTTTCACACACACCACATGGACAGTATGTACTCACGGCATGACACATGCTTTTAGAAAACACATATTTCTCTTTTCTTTCTGGTCTTTCTCTGGTCTCTATCCAGTCTCTCTTTCTGGTCTCTCTCTGGTCTGTCTCTCTCTAGTCTCTCTAGTCACTTCGGTAAAGTTAGCTTGATATTCACAGATTCGGACTTCCGCGGTCAATATCTCACGAAAGCTACGTTGTTAAACGAAAGTAATTGTGCCAAAATGATCACCTCTACATAGGCTAACTACTACAACATCGATTTTTAAAATCCAATGCGCTGTTTTAATGCTGAGAAATCCATTGAACCCAATGCACCGCAAGTGCCGAGAAAAGCACTTAGGGAGCGTCAACAAATGCCAATAGCAGCTGTGTAAACGAACACAAGTTTTTTTATTTTAAGCCAAGTACACGCACTAAACTCTCAAATACTATAAATAATGGCCATATCTAACTACTACAACCTTTGTTTTCAGCATTTGTCTCTTTTTTATATTTTTCATGAATAAATATGATTAAATATGAATATGAATTTTCAATAACTTTTTTTCAAAAAGGGGCGTGGTCACCAAATTCTCAGGTATGATCAATAACTAACATGTCTAACTACTACAACCTTTGTTTTCAGCAGAAATATCTTTTTTATATTTTTTATGATTAAATATTAATATGAATTTTCAATAACTTTTTTTCAAAAAGGGGCATGGTCACCAAATTCTCAGGTATGATCAATAACTACCATGTCTAACTACTACAACCTTTGTTTTCAGCAGAAATATCTTTTTTATATTTTTTATGATTAAATATGAATATGAATTTTCAATAACTTTTTTTCAAAAAGGGGCGTGGTCACCAAATTCTCAGGTATGATCAATAACTAACACGTCTAATTACTACAACCTTTGTTTTCAGCAGAAATATCTTTTTTATATTTTTTATGATTAAATATGAATATGAATTTTCAATAACTTTTTTTCAAAAAGGGGCGTGGTCACCAAATTCTCAGGTATTATCAATAACTACCATGTCTAACTACTACAACCTTTGTTTTCAGCAGAAATATATTTTTTATATTTTTTATGATTAAATATTAATATGAATTTTCAATCACTTTTTTTCAAAAAGGGGCGTGGTCACCAAATTCTCAGGTATGATCAATAACTAACACGTCTAATTACTACAACCTTTGTTTTCAGCAGAAATATCTTTTTTATATTTTTTATGATTAAATATGAATATGAATTTTCAATAACTTTTTTTCAAAAAGGGGCATGGTCACCAAATTCTCAGGTATGATCAATAACTACCATGTCTAACTACTACAACCTTTGTTTTCAGCAGAAATATCTTTTTTTATATTTTTTATGATTAAATATGAATATTAATTTTCAATAACTTTTTTTCTAAAAGGGGCGTGGTCACCAAATTCTCAGGTATGATCAATAACTACCATGTCTAACTACTACAACCTTTGTTTTCAGCAGAAACATCTTTTTTATATTTTTTATGATTAAATATGAATATGAATTTTCAATAACTTTTTTTCAAAAAGGGGCGTGGTCACCAAATTCTCAGGTATGATCAATAACTAACATGTCTAACTACTACAACCTTTGTTTTCAGCAGAAATATCTTTTTTATATTTTTTATGATTGAATCGTCAATAGCTTTTTTATAAATGGAGAAGAGACCTTTACCAGGAGTGTAAATTAGACATTTTTTTTGTTACTTTATTGTGCCATAAGTTTCGTATTACAATTACACAATTAGTATTTCAGAATTAACACAATATATATTTCTGTTTTTTGTTGTTAAAAAAAGTTGTTAAAACTCAAAGACTTACATTATGAGAGTATGAGTGTTGTATGTTTTGGGGCTTGCTATATTGTATGGCCTTTATGTTTTTTGTTTACATGGAGCAGCTGACAAGGCACAGCAAAAGTAGAAAAGGGGGATAAAACGCAGCAAAGAATGGATTTGAGATTCATAACGACAGTCGCTGCCACTAAGCTTGTACCATCAATGCATCATGCATGTGACACAACTACCAAGCTGCCTTGCACCCCCAGAAACTTCTCTTTTTTACCAGGCCAAATACTGTATACATCTTCAATTTGTACTTCTTTTTTTTCCTATCTGATGAAGCTATATATAAAAATAATTCAAGATTCAAGATTGTTTTATTTGTCAAACCATGTGACTGATTCGAAAATATATTTCTCTGATCCTTGATTGTGAAGCGGGGGGTGGGGGAAGAGGGGTGGGAGGGAGGGCAGGGAGTTCAGCTTCCCGATGGCCCTGTGTACGAAACTGTTCTTAAGGCGACTCGACCTGGCCCGTAGAATCCGCAGTCTCCTCCCTGAAGGCATTACTCTGAAGAGACTGTGTGATGGGTGCGTAGGGTCCCTGGTGATTCTGACGGCTTTGCGGGTGAGACCTTTTTGAAAAAAAGTTATCCATCCATCCATCCATTTTCTTCCGCTTTATCCGTTGCCGGGTCGCGGGGGCAGCAGTCTAAGCAGAGACGCCCAGACTTCCCTATCCACACACACCTCCTCCAACTCGTCCGGGGGGACCCCAAGGCGTTCCCAGGCCAGCTGAGAGACATAGTCTCTCCAGCGTGTCCTGGGTCTTCCCCGGGGCCTCCTCCCGGTGGGACGTGCCCGGAATACCTCCCCAGGAAGGCGTCCAGGAGGCATCCTGAACAGATGCCCGAGCCACCTCAACTGGTTCCTCTCGACGTGGAGAAGCAGCGGCTCTACTCCGAGCTCCTCCCGTGTGACCGAGCTCCTCACCCTATCTCTAAGGGAGCGCCCAGCCACTCTGCGGAGGAAGCTCATTTCGACCGCTTGTATCCGCGATCTCGTTCTTTCGGTCATTACCCACAGCTCATGACCATAGGTGAGGGAGGGAACGAAGATTGACCGGTAAATTGAGAGCTTTGCCTTTCGGCTCAGCTCCCTCTTCACCACAACGTGCCGATACAGCGACCGCATCACTGCGCACGCTGCACCGATCCGCCTGTCAATCTCACGCTCCATCCTCCCCTCACTCGTGAACAAGACCCCGAGATACTTGAACTCCTCCACTTGAGGAAGGACCTCTCCACCCACCTGAAGAGGGCAAGGCACCTTTTTCCGGTCGAGCACCATGGCCTCGGATTTGGAGGTGCTGATTCTCATCCCAGCCGGTACTGGACAGCTGCCTCAGGAGTCCCACGAACCATCATTGCTCGATAGGACTCCTTCTTCAGCCTGACGGCATCCCTTACTGCCGGTGTCCACCACCGGGTTCGGGGATTGCCGCTGGGACCAGCACCAGAGACCTTGCGACCACAGCTACGAGCCGCCGCATTGGCGATAGAGGAAGAGAACATGGTCCACTCGGACTCGATGTCCCCCTCCTCTGCCGGGACCTGAGAGAAGCTCTCCCGGAGGTGTGAGTTGAAAGTCCGTCTGACAGGGGGCTCAGCAAGACGTTCCCAGCAAACCCTCACTACACGCTTGGGCCTGCCAGGTCTGACCGGCCTCCTGCCCTGCCAGCGGATCCAACTCACGACCAGGTGAGGATCGGTTGACAGCTCCGCCCCTCTCTTCACCCGAGTGTCGGAGACACGCGGTCGAAGGTCAGATGATACGACTACAAAGTCGATCATCGACCTCCGGCCTAGGGTGTCCTGGTGCCACGTGCACTGATGGACACCCTTGTGCTCGAACATGGTGTTCGTGATGGACAGGCCGTGACTGGCGACCCTCTCATTCACCGGGGAGAACTCCAACACGTGGCGGCTGAGATGGGGGGCAATGAGTATGGCCACCCCAGCTCGCCGCCTCTCCCCGCGGGAAACACCAGAAAAGTGGAGCGTCCAACCCCTCTCAAGGAGTTGGGTTCCAGAGCCCAAGCTGTGTGTGGAGGTGAGGCCGACTATCTCTAGTCGGTATCGCTCAACCTCCCCCACAAGCTCGGGCTCCTTCCCCCCCAGTGAGGTGACGTTCCACGTCCCAAGAGCCAGATGTTGGGTGTGTCGACTGGGTCGTCGAGGTCTCCGCCTTCGACTGCTGCCCAGTCCTCTCTGCACCTCGCCACCACGGACCCCTCTGCAGGTGGTGGGCCCACAGGAGGGACTGCCCACGTCATCCCTTCGGGCTGAGCCCGGCCGGGCCCCATGGGCTAAGGCCCGGCCACCAGGCGCTCGCTTGCGAGCCCCGACCCCAGGCCTGGCTCTAGGGTGGGGCCCCGGCTGCGCCATGCCGGGCGACGTCACGGTTCTCATTGTCGTGCTGTCCATGGTTGGCTTCGGACTGCGCTTCGTCTGACTCGTCACTTGAGACCTGTCTGCCATGGGAGACCCTACCAGGGGCATGAAGCCCCAGACAGCATAGCTCCCAGGATCATCCGAGTGCTCAAACTCCCCCACCACGTTAAGGTGGCAGTCCAAGGGGGGAGAAAAAAAAGTTATTGAAAATTCATATTCATATTTAATCATAATAAATATAAAAAAGATATTTCTGCTGAAAACAAAGGTTGTAGTAATTAGACGTGTTAGTTATTGATCATACCTGAGAATTTTGTGACCACGCCCCTTTTTGAAAAAAAGTTATTGAAAATTCATATTCATATTTAATCATAAAAAATATAAAAAAGATATTTCTGCTGAAAACAAAGGTTGTAGTAATTAGAC